ATCCTCTGTTTGTTCAATTTTATTTTCTTTCCTGATTCTTGTATTAGATGACGAGTACTTGCCGTAGATTTGATATTGTGAGACTATAACGTTGATTGTTTCTTGATGAGTACTTGCTGCATGATTTTTCGAGTGCATGTTCAAGTTTACATGTGAAAGAAAGGATTTCGCTTGATAGGTGTTTGCGATAATGCTTGTCCCATGTGATCAGGGCCCTCCAAGCCTGGGAATGGCTGGTGCACATCCCTGTCTTTGGCTGAAGAAACTCATGGGCCACCATGACCAGAATTCTTGCCGCCTTGCGACACAATTTTCTAAACTTTTTGCCTCTGCAAACCAGACCAGTAATTAATATAATGCAATATTGGACACACAATACCAGTAGGATCTGAGGGCATGATGATTCCGTTAAAGCACGCGTTGTTCCTGGTCTTCCAAATTGACCAAACTACAGCAGCTACTCCACAAGCTACAAACCCTCTACTACTAACAGGGAGCTTACTAATCCAGACAGGGATACCATAAAAAACACCAGGCATCTCTTGCAAATTAAACATACATTTGATCACATGCCAAACATATCTAGCAACAGGGCACAAGAAGAACAAGTGATCTATCCCTTCTCTAGTATTACAAAACACACAATTTGCACTTCCTTTCCATCCCCGGTGCAATAAGATACCTTTGGTCAGTATACTTTTTTCAGTAACTAGCTACAAGAAGACTTTAATCTTAAGGACAGTATAACTAAGATTGCCCTCATGTTTACATCATGGCCGATCTTGCCCAAAATATGTTTAGTATCTTGCTCTGATCCGTACTACTAGTCATTAATGACAGTACAAGAAAGATGGCCAATGAAGAATTGCTGAGGGATAAGCTTGATAGTTACTGGCAGGCCTTATAAAAAATTGACCTACTAATTAGTGAACCTTTTAAGAATATATGTACTTTATAATAAGACATTTTCGTTTACGCGATGTTAACTATTATCCAGAAAATTTGATTTTGTAACACTATACTTGGATAGTTTGCAGTATCATTATTTGTATGTATGCTCTCACTTGTGCCTAGTCACATCTCCAAAATCTGATATCTCTATCAAAATAGGGCTTGTCCAGTAGACCAGTACCCCCAAGCCGCTGTGGCAGCAGCAGCGGTGAGGTGAGGAAGGTGGGAAGGGTTATCCTTTTCTTCCGATCCGTCTTCTTCTGTATTTCTGTTGTTTTGTGTGGTTCTAGTAATGCGAGCATATCTCACATGTAAATCCCTTTCTTGTTAGGCGGTTATAAGCATGGAGCCCAAAGAGAAGCCCGAAACGACCAGCGCTGCCAGCCCACCTCCACCGCGGCTGGACTGCATAAAGTGCTTCGATGCGCTATGGTTCTGCTATACCCCTCTCCACCAGCTGCAGACCTACTACCGCCACGGGGATTTTGACACCTGCTTCGGCAAGTGGGGTGATCTCGTTGACTGTCTCTCGCTCAAGACGAAGCGGAGGGCGGAGGTAGAGGAGATCCTCATCGCGCGGGAGAAGGCCAAGCCGCACATCTGGACCTTCCGGACTGCCGAAGAGGCGCAGGCGAACTGGTGGCAGATGTACAAGCACAAGGTGGTGATGTCGTCGCCACCCAAGACTGCAGGTTCTGCTGTGCCTCCTCCTGGATCATCTGGTGTTCTTTCCTGAGAATTGAAGGTCAGGGGAGCCTACAGAAGCGTCGGTTGTGCTTTTGTGCGCTGTGCTTAGACCGCTGGTCTTTGTTCAAACTTGAATGTACCCTGGCAGGGTAAATAATTGGAACCTTGGATGGAAAGATACCTTAATCCTGTTCTGTAGATCATGGCAGGCAACTGAACCAAAATGTTCTGGTGGTTCTTTTGCTATTTTTTGCACCAGCTATGATGTTAGCCTTTTTGCTTACTTCCTTGCCAGGCATAAATGTTTTGGCTTGTGCTGTAGTGTGTTCTCATTAATTTCTGAATGAAGACTAATTAATTTTTGTTCAAATGTGGTCAGGAATGGGTATAGCCTCGGGTTGCCAGATTTGGTTTGCTTTTCTGTTTGTTGGTGTTTGTTTTTCAAGATTTATTATTTGCGAGTGTTTTACGTGCAGATTCTGGATTAGAAATGACGGAGACAAGATGCCATGCTGCCAGTGCCACCGCTGCCCTGGATGGTAACCAAATCCATCTGCAGCAATGCTGCTTTTGTTATCTGAATATCACACTTGGTTCTTCAAGCAATTGTTCTGCAGCCTTGCACACCCCATTTGTCCTTTGCACTGTCAAGAAAATTCTACTCTCTGTCTGTAGTATACTCTCTTGTTGGAAGTTAGAAGAGTTAGATTATCTCAAAGAAAATTGTTCTAGGACACTTGGTAATTTTTAAATTGTTCTATTGCGGAATCAAGGAATTGACATTTCTTAGAGCGAGTTGGTTGGGTTCATATCAGAGTCAATCATAATGAGTAAATCAACAGAAGCAACCATTCTATTTATTTAAGAAAATGGAAATGTGTCTGCACTTCCCACAACCAAAATAGGACCATATCTCACATAATAGATACACATAGAAAATGGAATACTTTGCGAGATGTTGTGTAGTTTGTTCAATATGCATGCAATTGTGGGGAAAAAAACATAGTTGGTGCCCTATTTTACATCATCTGCTATGATTCTGATGCCCTATTTTATATCATCTGGTACGGCAGAAAAAAAATATGGTGCGCTAAAACCTACTTTTTGGTATAAAAAAGTTTTAATATCAGGGTAGTCTTGCTGAGCATTAGTGTGTGGTGCAATTATATTGTCTAATATCCCCTTAGAAAAAACATTGCCTAATATGAACACGCGTTGCACTACTAGTAGACAGATAAGTTTTTTTTTACCTAGTAGACTTTTTTTGAGTGGTTTTTAACCTGGTAGGCAGATAAGTTTTTTTTAAGATAAAGTAGACAGATATAAGTTGGACACACAGGTTGACTAGAATGCCGTGTTCTGCAAGCTGGGCCTGAACCGTGAAACGGCCGGAGATGCAAATTTTGGGCATCATAGCCAATAGCTTTGCTTGACGATCAGATCTACGATGGAGGGAGTTGCGGCGACGAATCTCGGCGGACGCCGTCCTCCATGGCAGGACCTCCCGTCGGAGCTGCTGGGCCTCGTGCTCCAGCGCGTGCTGTCCCACGCCGACCGCGTCCGCCTCGGCGCCGTCTGCCGCCAGTGGCGCTCCGGCGCGCGCCTGCAGCCGCCGCTGCTCCCGTGGCTCGCCCTCCGCGACGGCTCCTTCCTCAGCCTCTCCGACGGCGAGGTCCACCGCCGCGGCCTCGCCCTGGACGAAAATCTCGCGCACCGCGTCTCCACCGGCAGCACGCTCTTCCTCGTGCACAACGCCAAAGGGTTCTCGTGCTCGCTGATGAACCCTCTTGCGCGGGGGATGACGACGGCCCCCCAGCGCGTCAACCTCGACCGCCTCCGCACTCGGGTCGGCCATGTCCGCAAGGTGGTGGTGATGTCCGACCACAGCACCGCCGTCTAGACAGGGAGCCGGATCAGCGGCGGGCAGGTGATCACCATCTCCATCCGCAGGCCGCAGCCAACGACCGGGGAATGGCAGTGGCAGTGGAACCCCCATGGAGCCACAGGCGCAGGCTACTACCCCCACCCCTATCATATCCTCGACATGGCACTCTTCCAGCACAAGCTATACGTCCTCACCGCAGCAGTCGTCGGTGCGTACCACTACTACAAGTCTACAACCCTCTCCGGCTGCGTCTTTATGCCATGGACATCGTCGATGGCAACCATGTCAACGTGCAACGCGTGTTCATGAGGCCGCAGGACGACGTCGACCGATGGCACCGCGGCGGCCCTCGCCACTACCTGGTCGCCTCTGGCGACCGGCTGTTGATGGTGAAGCAGACAAGCCCGTTGCTCATGCGGCTTGGTTCGAGGTCCTGGAGGCGGCAGACATCAGCGGCGGCGGCCTAGGGCGGTGGAGAGACGTCGAGACGCTCATGGGGCGCGCTCTCTTCGTCAGCGAAGGCTGCTCCGAGTCGCTCCCTGCCGGAGACGGCAAGCACGGGGGAGCTCGACAAGACTGCATCTACTTTCTCAAGGAGCATAACAATTATGGTGGAAGGACGAGCGCCCTCTACTCTGGGGTTTACGACATGAGACGAGGGACGGTGTCCCCCTTGCCGGTGGACACGGTGGTGCCACATGACGGATCATTGACCGCGACTTGGTTTTTCCCTCCTGATTCTTGAGTTAAGATGTATGTATGGGTAGTTGGGTACAAAGTTCATGCTCATGCATAACCATACTTAACTTTTGCACTGTCAAGAAAATTTTGCTCTGTGTTGATCTGAAGTACTTTCTCTATTCACTTTTATAAGACTTTGAACACATTTCAGACAATGTGCAAAACAACCTATTTTGAATTGTTTGAAACGACTTACAAAAATGAACGGAGGGAGTATTACTCATTTATTCGAAGTTAGAAGAATTAGATAATCTCTTTGAACAAAGTTTTTTATATGAAAGTTAGAAGAATCAGATTAACTGGCCGATATTTGTTCAAATTAGAGATAATCTCACATATAGCCTCGGGAACCAGAAAGCATAGGAGCAGATGTTGGCGATATGTCGCTTCATCAGCCAAGTGAGGAAAAGGAGTGGATGAGGAAGATTTGACCAACCTTCTACTTAGTCCTAGGACCATAGATTGATGTGTGGATTGAAGAATTACTGTCCGGTTAATGCAACTACTAATTATAATCTGAATACGAAGATTTATAATCAAAACTGGGTTTAAGCAGTTGAGAATTTGATACAGCAGCAAAAGCAGAGCATCTGAAGGAGGCTGGAGTATGTAATACTGAGTGCTGATTTTGTTCTTCACATGAACGTAAAATGCATGATTTGTTTTGAGAAATAGTTTTATGGATGTTTTTGATATCTGCATCTCTCCTGAGCTGCTTGTAGTAGAAACAAATTAGTTGGTGCGGTTTCCTTATACCCTTCCCACCTCCCCATTTTTCGGTATAGCTAAATGTGGGTGAAAACTGTTTCCATCGTGTTCTGCCTATCGACCATTATCCACCTGAGATGAGGGACAAGTTGCCTTAATCCGCAGCCTGAGGCCACACGAATTTTCAGAGAATCGCCGGGATTAGAACAACCTTATGGATAATGAGGGAGCATCCCAAAGTGAAACATGATGATGTCGAACACACACACACACATGCACTCCTGCACACAGGAAGGGAGGGGGTGCACGATATTGTGAAATATACTCCCTCTGTCCCAAAATAAGTGTCGCTGAGTTAATGTAGGGAATAGTTTTTCTCGTGCTTATCAAATAATATTATGCTTTAATCAATGTGTATATAAACAATTTTCTTTTTCATAACTGTCAAATGCCCCGTCCAAATAAAACACATTCAACAAGTTATATTGCCATATGTGCAATTGAGGGCGATGGAAAGCTTGGAAGGGGGCAGAGATAATGTGCAGAAGAAGAAAATGCCACGAGAATTATAAACATATATGTTTGACACGATAAGTGTTGAACCACTGAATATTTATGCTCCTGTTGCAACGCATGGGGAATTACCTAGTCAATAATAACAAGTATGTAGCATGTATGTTGGTTTCAAGATTACAACATGGTTTCATCCAAGTGTATGTATATGTCCATGGGTGGTTATAATACATACATAGCCGAGGAATCACAAACAAACTTCAGTGTGCTGCCAGAGCAAGACCAGCATTGTCGTCTGTGAGCCTCTTCACATACTCTTGCCGCACCGGATGGTCCTCCTGAGGCCGGTTGTGCGCGGTCCAGACTGGCTCTCCCAGGAAGAGCCTCATGAGCTGTGCACGACGAGGCATCAGAATGATAAGGATCCAGTTGATATCTGATGCAAGATAGAGCTTCTAAATATATACATTATGTCTCATTAATTACTTATAGATGTTGTTTAACAACACAGTTCTTTAATTACCGGCTGAAAATGAACCCTGTTTCTGCATCCTACGAGAGCAAACCTTTCTGCTTAACTTGAATGCACTATCCAGATTGGCAAATTTGTGTTGCCAGTTCAATATTTTGTTCTTTTTTCCTTTTTGGTCCTCACCAAGCAGCATTACATTAAGAATTAATTGTCAACCATCTTGTTGATCAAAAGATCTGTTTTGCTACTTGTGATTCTTTTTCGGTGGTTCTACAGATGTCCTCTAGTCTAGTGCCAAAATCATGTTTTCATTGAGCTTGGTTGACAAAACAGATTCATATTTCTATGCAAAATGTGATGCAAAAAATAATCACTGCAACAGCTCTTTATAGCAGTAATAAACACAAAAAGATTCCCAATCAGTACCTTCACATGGTTGGCGGCGTCGAGGGTGAACCGATGATAAATTCCAGCCGGCAGCACAATCATATCCCCTTCTTTTATCCAGATCCGAACCCATTTGTCATCCTTGTCGCGCACATCAAAGTACCCACCGCCTTCCAAGCAGTAGCGGATCTCTTCGTCGGCATGCATGTGCTCTGTGAAGAAGTTCTTCAGCTTCTCCTCAAAGTTCGCTAACTTTCCAGGACATATATCGAGATAATCCTTCAGCAAGTGATGCATGTGCAATACTGTCAGATTACATACACAAGGTGTGCACGGTTAAAGAGAAGCAAAGAGGGACTGAGAGTTGGTGGGGGTCGCAAACCATGTAGTTGTATCCTCTGTCTTTGCGGATCTTCGCTAGCTCTTCCTCACTTTCAGACTTCTTTGGGTCCAAATGCCAGTATAACACACCAATCTCTGAAAGAAAACAGGGCAAGTGTTGGAAGCTGCTTAGCAAAGTATGTCAGATAGAGGAACCGAGCCCAGCTTCTAGATGCCTTGTTTACGGAGAAGTGGATTCAGATACCGGGCCGCTTTTCAAAATAATTCAAAATGATATTTTCAAAGCTAAATGAGAACTGAACATTCGCTTGTTCTACTCGCCTTATTAGTCAGGTATCCACTCCCAGCAGTTACTTCTTTTTTTTTCGAAAAGGGGGAATTCCCCGGCCAGCAGTTACTTCTTTGGGTGAGGAACATAAATTGTATAGTTCGAATCGACAGAGGATAATCAAGAACGTTGACAAGTTCATTTTTCTAACCAATCTCTCGAAGTGGCAATTGCCTCAACTGCAGGATGCCAGTCACACATATAACAAGTTTGCAGGTAGCAGCACATGGTTTGCTCAGGAAACACGGGGTAATCAACTTTCCAATTTTAAAGTGACAAGTTCCTGTCATTTCAGATGCAAATCAGCATAGGGAAAGGGATGAAAACTACTCGACGAATACTGAATAGTCACCCTCTGTTTAAGCAGTTACATGAGGGCGTCGTTATCTAAAAGAGCTGACTAAGGCCACGACATCCAACCAATAAAAGCTTATATATAGCCAAAAGAGACATTTTTAACCCAAACAAATGGGGGGCACATGAACAATCCAAGAAACTGAGCCAGCAACGAGAGAAGTTGCAAGGATCATCATTCGCACCTTGGAGCTTGGAGAGAGGCAGGAGCTCCTTGTGGTTGTCGAGGTCCTCGCCGTCCTCCCCAACCATCCATACCTGATCCAAGAACCAAGAGCAGGCGCAAATCAGATACAGAGAAGATAGAATTCATATCGATTCCAAGAGAAATCATCCTGCCTGCCCGTACCTGAAGAGCCATGTTGAACGGAACGAATGGAGGAAACCAACCCAGCAGCTCGTTTGATTGGCTTGTGCTCTGAGTGCTTCCAGTTCCAGGGGGTTCTTTCTTTTCTACGGAAAAATGGTGAAGCAGGATGATTATTAGCGGTAGGTTCGAGATTCCCCTCTCTGGTTTTTGTCTGCGTGCATTGTGTGGATTGTGGTAGCGAGAAGAGAGAGCCACAGAGGATCCTGATCTGATCTGGAGAGCTGATGATGTCAGGCGTGAGGCTATCGACTTTGATTTTTCCTTCAAGGAGATCTCAGCCGGCTGTTCACGAGATTGGCAATCCAATGAGCAAGAGCACTTTAGCAGAGTCCTCGTACCAAAAAAGAAAAAGAAAAAGAAATTAGATGTCGTTTCTTCCTCCAAATAAATCGGTCTAGCACATTCCCTATTCCGTTCTCCGTCGTAATATTGTTTTTTGGATACAAGGACTCTGCTACAGTGTAGGCTGGCGGATCAGGATCACAGATAGGTTGTTGGACATATCGCCCAAATAGACAAGCCGTCCATAGTCTGCTCATGCAGGACTATTTGATACAGTACCAAGTTCTACGTACCCATGCTAGTCTATCCCGTCGACAGTTTCCGCATGTCACAACGGTTGTTGCATCACATCACCGATGACTTGAATATTAATGAATTGTTTTTCACGCAACAGAGGAATGCCACCGGTCTGCTGGGTCCTTTTTTGTTTTCACTATTACCCATATGGCGCTCCTACAAATATGATAGGTGCCTATATTCGGATGAGCAAAGATACAATCATAAAGTGCGTGAAAGTGTTCATTGATGTTGTGAGGTTTATGGAGCTTAGTATTTTTGAGGAGCACCTAATGCCAAGGTCACGGCGAGGCTTTCAGCAATCAGTGAAGCAATTGGATGCCTAGGGGTGCTTGGGAGCATTTATTATATGCATTAGAGGTGAAGAATTTCCTACCCTCAAAAAAAAAAGAGGTGAAGAATTTCCATGCAACATGACACGGTCTGTTCATCGGGCATTGCCGATCTGACATAAAAAGCTGACCAGAAATTATGACCTACCACCCGCAAAGTGAAGGGGCCAAAGGAGCAACGACATCGTCGTCGCCGCCGAAGTGGATGTCGACGGTGGCCTCAAGATCTAGATCTCATTTTCTTATGCGAGAGCAAATGTACCGGTTCACGTCATTACACCAGTGTTTAATTGAATTTATTATTCCCATCTTGTTAACATGGTTGAACACAAATTAATTATTAGTGTTCTATAGTACATTGTCACTTTTGCTCTTTTTGTGTTCCATGTTTGCGCATCTAGCAAATTCAACATCTTTTTTGGATTAGTATTGCGCCACTAATTAAGTTTTTGATCAAGTTTTTCATGATTGGAGGAGACAATATATGTCGTTCTTTCTTTTTGGTTTTGAGAACCAGATCTGGATATCCTAACAGTGTAGCCGAGCCTCGGAATTCTTATCTAGTTCCTCTCGTTCACCATGAAACCTGACGACGCTTCATAGTTGAACTTAAAAAAAATCCCACGATTGACCCGAGGACAATATTTTTTGCAGATTGAGTTAATTAGTACTTCTATAGATTTTGTTGCCTCTCGATCACTGATTTGTTTATTAAATTTTAACACCGTCGTATCATCTAAAAACAATGGGTCCAGCTGTACAACACTCGAGAACCGTGAACCATCACCCAAAGCCTGACAAAACCATCCACCTCTTAAAGCCAAACAAAACGCTAGCATAAACAAATCACACTTTTACTCGTCCATTTCTTCCGAAGGAGAACGCGGCGGTTTAGGGTAGCGACCCAGATAAACCCAATAGGCGTCAGGCACGGGCCAGCTATGCATGGATGAAATAAAAACCCTAAGTTAGAAGGAAGGCCAACAATTTATTTACTACGTTGGAAACACAATGAATGTATCCAGACAGGTCAAAAGGATGCGAAGGACCTACCTGGGAATTTCAGACTCGTCTGTATCCTCGACATCAGCAACATCAGTCCTACAACAACAGATTGATCAAATTTTACCGAGAAAAAAAAGAACATATTGATCAAATGATAGTTGTAGCGTCCAAAAATAACCGAGTGACAACCAAACTGGTCTAAATTCAGTACATATTGTTGTGCGTCAAATCTCCTCATGACTTCCAATATAATATCCCTTGGCAGGTAAGGAGTATCTTCCATGTCATAGAAGTTCATGCCAACAAACTTTCCGTCAAAATCAACAAGGGGTCCTACAATCCCAGCCTATATAGCACAACAACCAAGTTGCAACAAAAGGATTAAACAAGGGAAAAACAATAATGTGCAGCAACTGTTACTTCATACTCTGATTAAGAGAAGTCAACACAATGCACCTTGGTGATTTTACATGTGGACATCCGAAGCTCTTTGTAATCAAATCTACTATCTTTGCCTGTCTTGGCTCCATTTGTGGCCATTAACGTGCCTGATTTGAAGTCGCGCCCTAGAGCTACTACCTCATTGGTTCGAGATGCTTCAATGAGTTTTGCTGCACTATAACTGCGGACACCCTCAATGCTGACAACAGCCATATTGTAGTGTAGATTATAATGTTGCAATGACCCGTCCACATGCCGTTTACTCGGAAGGCACACTTCAATCTATAACAATGAAGTGGTGACTTTGCTAGTAGTATCTTTAAATCAGTAAGATAAAACAAGCAAATAATGACTAGCAGCACCAACCATCAATCCAGGTTGAATGTTGTTTTCTTCACCATTAGTTCTAACCAAGCTTGCCGAAGTCAGAACTCTTGTAACGGATCCATTGCACTCTATAAATACACCTGTGCAAGAAAATGTTTTCTTCTTTTATCTATACACAATGTAGTTTCAAGCATTAACAAGTGGTCACATAAGAGAATAAATATGGAAACCTAATGAGCTTAGAACAGTACAATCACCCTAGTTGTGCTCTCCATCAGAATCAGATTCTACGATGAATGAAGCAAGTGCCACAACACTTCGAGACATCTTCGAAGCAACTTTCCTGGTTGGTTCACTCCAATTACCGCTGCCGAATTCATCGTCAAAAGTCCCTTTCAAGTACATCTGTACATGCCATCTGGTTAAATAAGCATGGCACATCAGTGGAGACGCCAGAACAAAGTTGTCAAATTTTGAAACGGCTGGGAATAGTCATCACGATGGGGAGCATCTACTTACCATCAGCAAACTTTGGCAAGGGATGACCAGCAGTCCTTAACATCTCATTTGCTCTATCCGTAAAGTCTGGTGCAACAGGTTAAAGCGATCCATGACAATGTATTAGTAGTGATTAGCATAATCAAAATAAATTCTGGTGCAACAAAGGTGAAGCAATTCACCATGTAACTGTTGGCAAAATCGAAAGCACCCACTCACCATCACCGGAAGCAGGCCAGGGAGCAAGTACACATTCAAGTTGGTCATCAGTGAGTTCTGCTACAGGGTGAAACAATTAGCGATTCGATGATGATTAAAAGCTTAGTAATAGCCATTGTTCGGAAGATTATAATTTGATAACTTGCTATTTATAGTTAGCATAATAAATAGGATAATTATGATACTGTAGATGACATTATGAGTGAACTGCTTGGATCTCCCTTTTGGTTCAGGGCTGAATGTGTGTTAGTATATACATGCACTAGTGTGAATGGCCATTAGGTTCTACATGCAGACCATGTGTTAGTATGATTAAATCCATTAACTTAAACTAGCCTTGTGCAGGGCATGAGTAACTGAAATATAATTATTCGCAACTAATATTAGAAAATGATAAAGAACTACCAGCTAGTGCATATAGTCTCAAGGGTGATTGTTCTTAGCTTACCTTTTGGACTGTCCCTATAAGATTCTTCTGTCTCATCTGTACAGCAATCATCTTCTTCACTCGCAACTTTGAATGTAGTAATTGATGCAAAACTGAAGGGTCATTCTCAGGCAGATATCAAATAACTAAAACAACTGAATGGCCATGATAAAAAAACAAAGTTTGCAAAAAAGGATAAAATAAAATGAGAAACACGGTTCTAAAGGTTCATTCAGGCATGAACGTCAAATAAGTAGAACAACCGAATGTCCATGATCGAAAAAAATTGAGTTCACGACAAAATAAAAATATCGAACATGAGCAACACAGTTTTGTAACAAGAACAACACAGTGTGATATACAAAGAATGGATGCAAGAATAAATAATAACAACATTGCAAGAAAACGAATAGCCAATTTACATGTTGTAACAACGAAGAAGGACTAGGAAAGTTGTTCGGCATAAGTATTGGAACACAATCTTACCAGAACATTTCAAGCCCAAGGCGGTCCAAAATTAGATTACTTGGTAGGAATGGAGTTATTTTCCCACCATAGTAGTTCATGCCAACAAATTCCCATCACAATCAACAAGTGGCCCTCCACTGGCAGCCTAGCACATAAAATAATTTGACTCTCAGATTAGCACAAAAATGAATCAATACCACACAGGGATCTTTTTGTTGCAGCTCTTGGGGCATTAGAAAGTTCATTGCACATAAAAACGATAAATGACATGCCACTAATATCATGAATTCACTGTACAATTGTTGACTTCAACTATGTAGAAAAATCAGAAGGAACATCAACAGTGCACCTCGGTGATTTTGCATGTGGAAAAATTAAGCTCTTTGTCTTGAATTGCACCAGTCAGTGGCAAATTAAGCTCTTCGTTTTGAATTCCACTAGTCAGTGACCCTCTGGTGTACACTAATTTTCCTGAGTCGAAGCACCGCCTTACAGCTAATACCCCGGCCACCGAATCAACTTGCATGTTGTCATCGAGACATGCTACGCGGAGATTATGTGAGCGCAGGAAGTGCAACAAGGAATTGGTGCTGACAACAGCGAGATCGCAAAAGGACGAATGATAGTTGAGCCACCCATGGACCACTTTGCCATTTGGAAGGCGCACCTTGATCTGTAACGATACAGCAAAAGCA